AACGTATAGGCGGATTACTTGTCAAGGCCAGACATGGAAGCCGAGCTTCCATTGACAACATGCGCCGTGAATAGTTTAGAGGGAGACCGATTAGAACTCGTCCGTCAGCAGAAAGTTGACCCTAACCTTCGAGAGGTAATCAGAGTGATAAGAGAGGGAGAAGACGTCGACAAACGAACAATGGGCAAGGAGGTAATAATGCTGCTTCGGCAAAAGGAACGGCTGAGAGTGAACGCATATGGGTGGCTTTGATCCAGAAAGACTGGGGGTGTAAGATGATACACGAGTGTCACCAGGTAGTACATACAAGCATCGCAAGAACGAAGGATTTACTATGACAAAGTGCGTACTGGCCAGACATGAGAGTCGATGTGGGTCAATACGTGTTAACTTGCCAGCAGTGTCAACTAATGAAAAGCAGTCGATAAGCGCAACCCCCATTACAGTCAATCCCAGTAACCGCAGTCGGTGATCTATGGTTGGTGGATGTGATGGGGCCGTTTCCACAGACGGCGAGTGGTAACCAGTACCCGCTAGTGATGAAGGAACATGCTACACGTTGGGTAGATGCCGTATCTATTGCAGACCAACGGGCAAAAACAGTGACCGAAGTGGTAATCAGGCATATTGTAGCGTGTCACGGAATACCGAAGATGATATTAACTGACCAGGGTCTTTGTTTTGAAAGTGACGAGTTTAAAGCCCATCTAAAGCAGTTTGGCATCAAGAGGATAAGAACTACACCGTATCATCCTCAGACAAACGGGCTTACAGAAAGAAACAATCGGACGTTAAAAGGAATGGTTTGCATCTAAAGAAGGAAATCGGGAGAAAGAGTTACCATTAATTTTGCTGGCACATCGTTCCTCCGTACAAGGAACAACCAAGAAGTCACCTTTCTTGCTTATGTATGGCAGACAACCACGACTTCCAATGCATAATATGACCTGGCCACAACAACAGAAGTGGACGACAACAAGGTTAAGAAAAGAGAGGAGGGAGGCAGTAAGGAATGTGGAAAAGGAACAAACTTCAGACATAAAGAAGGCGGAACAACAGTGGAGAACGTGGGAACCTTTCGCAGTTGGGGACCTAGTAAAGTGTAGAGAACGGAAAAGTAACATAGCAGGGGAATCAGGGTCGGGAAAGCTGATCGCAAAGTGGGAAGGAGTGTGATTCACGAACAGTACCAAGGCAGACAGCTGTACGGCGACCAGAAAGATTACGACAACAACATATTAAAAGGTGGGACGACTATGGTGCGTGCTACTTATATTGACATAAGTAGTATATAACACGAGTCAGGAATGTAATGTCTGGCAGCAGAAGATTGGGAATATCAAGAAAGGAAGAACGGGAATAGAAAGCAATTAGCATAGAAATGTAAGAACAATGAAGTTCGAGACAATTATTGAACATATTGCAAATTAGGTATTATAGTATGGTTTTTCTATTTTACCAAGTAACTCTGTAATGTTGTGTTAAATATATTTCGGTTGTCCTCACCTGTGTTCCCCTTCACTACAGTAGTATTCTTTAGTTGACTAAACCCAACTAACTTAAATTGTTTGTTTAGCATCAAGTGAGTTACGATCGATTCAGAAATATCCAGCAGCTGTGTGTCTCCTGATTTCGCCCTTTACTTAGGTTCGTCCGTCATTATTCCATAGACACAGAGATTGTTCTGTTTTATTATCATTTTAGAGTTTGTTATAGGCGTTTTATTAATTAGAAGATACTCTGATATTACATTTAAAAACGACTCATAGAAGCTTAGGATACACGTCTATACATTCCGAAAACACAAACTATGCACACGACTGTTTCAGATTAATGAACTGAAGATTATAAGTTTTATAGGAAAATTGTTTTCGCAATAGGACGACGTTGCTTGAAAAATATTTACAAACAGAAGTAATAAACAGTGTTTTCAATCTTAGATTGATCTAACACAGTCTTTTTTCCGAATGATTTCGGCTTCACAAATTTTCAAGATGACTTTTTGCGTTTAGATTAATAAACATGTCTGGCGCCATAAGTTTCAGTTTGTAATGTAAGTAAATTGGTCATCAGTGAAACCAAAGAATAATAATAATAATAATAATAATAATAATAGTCTGATTCTGAGGGAACGGATGAATTCTGAATATTATGGTGATCATTGAGCACCATATGATTGGATCTTCTAGCGTTGTTCCATTGCTTTGTGAATAAGAGCCTTTAGTCAGAGGTTCACAAGTGACTTTCTAACATGATCATCTTCATTTATGTGAACTATTTGCCCAATATTTTAGCTCCCAAACAAAGTGTAACACATTTTTGGTAACCTAATGTACTGTTTTTAATTTGTTATACGTAAATAAATTAAAATCTATATTTAATACTACTTTTTATAAAAAGTTTTAAGGGTTATAAACAGATTTTTGTACACATTTCATTCCTAATATGTTTCTATCTGTATGCATCATAGCTGAACGTTTCACATGTAAATACCAAATGGAATCCAGAAAGAAAGTTCGTTTAATTTATTGACAAACAACATGTATTTACCTGTGAACATATTCGTATTAAATCCAGAATTTCAAGAGTTATAAATAGGTCCTCTGAAACAGAACAGTTTTTATGACAATTTTCACCTTCTTACTATTGGAAGTTGGATTCAGAGAACTGAGATATTTGATAAGCTGTTAATTTACATTATTGTTCTCTTTTTTATTGAACTTTAAAAACTAATACATAAATAGTTATTAGTAGATTTTTTTATGATTAACAATGAATGATCAGTAGTAAATTTAAGAACAAACAAATTTCTGTATGAGATGTATTTAACTGCCTACAAATCATATGAAGTAATTTAAAAAGTGGTCAAAACTGGTTCATCATGGGTCATTGTCTGAAAAGGACTGAAAAAAGAGAGATATTAAAGCAGAGATGAATGTTCAAATAACCAATATATATGAACTAGAAACTTATTTAATTGAACAGATAACTCCACTTCTGTGGTCACTAAAACATTGGCTTTAATTAAGGTCAGCAACTGAATGGGGAAATAAGCTTATTGGTCACTTTAAAACCTTTTATTCATTTGGTTTATTAAATCATTAATCAATAATTCTGTTTATAAATAGTCAATTTCTTCCCGTTTATTCTAGACTGGTTAGTGAGTATTATCGATTAAATTAAGAATACATGGATCAAAAGAAGTGAATAGAAATCTTGGTAAACTGATGTTAAAAGAAAAAACTGTTAAGTATTTACATCTGACTAATTCTGATAAACAACTCTGTTACATATAGTTAATGGTTTTCAGCTAGTTTTGTTACTCAGTAGTATATACTGAGAAGTTTTAAAGCTGGTTATAAATGTCCTTTCGATTAGTCTACTTGCTTATTAAAATTCTGAAGGGACATTAGTTGTTTGAAAGTAACAGATTGCATATGTTGATTAACCGCTGTCCAATAATTGTGTATTTAATTCATTTATTGATCTCGAAATAAGGCGAACCAAGTATCTAATTCTCATTTTTCCGAGGCTTTTCATTTGATATTAGTTTGTTGTAAAATCCATCTGAAGACTATAACGATACCCACAAAACAACTTCTGAATTAATAACTAAAAATCCATCGATAACTAATTTTCAGAAGCTTAATTGGGACATCATATTATATGTGAGTGAGATCTACCCACTGATGATAATACACTAAGATAATGCTACATTACAAAATGGATTAAGTAGGAAAGCTGTTATCACTGGATTCTAAGTAAGTTATCCAGTGGTTTCAAGTTCACCACAAACCAGAAAGCTCTGTGTTTGATTCTGTATTAAGTGTTCACTACTGAAACAGCCTGAAGCATGGAGGAAATAGGTATTTAGTATTTTCTCTTTCTAAATGGTTTTACACTTAAGTTGTGACGAAAACCTGATCGAATGATAGTAACTCAGGTCATTAAAAAAATATCTGTTACAGTATTGATTAATCTGTACTTGTAAGTCAAATATGCAACACTAAAGTTTTTAAATAATTAACCATTTCTACTAACTTTTCCCTCATAATACATGTTTTTAAAAAAAGATGCAATGTGAAACGGTTTAACCGTATTTAACCTCATAAATCCGATAATTCAACATAATAAGGATATTTTAAGGGGAAAGTTGTTTCAATAATTTTATTCACAATCAGCAAATATACGTTTTGAAGATAACTATGATATTATTAAAGACGTGTAGTATTGACCTAGAAATACATTAGTTAAATTTCATACATACATTTCTTTATAGATATTTGTATAGTGTAGTGTTCAAACAAATTTAACGACACCACATTTCCGAAGCTAGTATAGAAAATATATGATAACAATCTCTGAATGATCACAGTGATGAATTCTCTAGATATTCCAGCTTATTCATCATTAGTTAAATATATAGTAAAGCAAAGTGTTCTGTCTAACTTCAAAGGTATGAAGCCTAATCACTTGATATTGGTCGAAATGATAGATCACATAACTAGAACACTTTCATTTGTGCCTTTTAATTATTAGGAGCACAATATTTAGATTTATGTTCAAACTGACTGGTAATAAACAATGTTTTGTATTCAGTATTTCAGGTGAAATCAATACTCAACTCTCCAAATTCTACATTGTCTCATTTCGACATCTGTTTGAATTTCCATTCTATTTACTCCTGTATTTAACTGTTTCATATCAAAAATTGCTTTCAGATTCAAGATTTATAACATTGAAGATTCTGTGATTCATGACTATCAGTAAATAAAAGTATTTGATTTACAATTTGCCTGTAAATAAAAATCAATTGAACTATCATCATTATTGATTTTTTTTAAAAAAATATAACCTTCAGTAATTCAAAATAATTTACATCTATCTATTTGTTATTCACCATAAACACATTGTTTAGTTTATAAACATTGTTAGAATTAGAAAAAATCTTGTCTGATTCATTATGAAATAATGGAATCCAGGTATATTTCACCACCAGAATGTATTCGAAACAAATCTGCTTTATATTAAATAATATTACTGAATATAATTTAAAAAGTCAAGTTAATGAAATCATTACTATTATGTCACATGATTTATTCGATGGTTTGCTTATTCAATTCTTAATCGTATTACTTCAGAACCAAGTCAACATAATGTATACTTTAAATTTATAATAATGATTTCAGAATATTATACAAATTTTGAAACAGTTCTATTAGAAATTTTAACAAAAGAAATTGATTATTTAATAAAATTATCAAATCTTAATGTTTCTAATGGTAAAATATTAAAATATTTTGGTAGATTTTTAGGTCGTTTAACAATTGCACGAGATATTCCTTTACAAATAAATATCAAATCATTAATTTATACAACTTTTAAATATAAAACCTAATTCATTAGATTATATTGTATCATTTATTTCGGAATTATTAAAAAATATAAAATATAGTAATCAAATAAAACCATCCAATCCATGGGTGAATGAAATATTACAAATCATGAAAGAATTATATTATATCACTGATAAATTAACTATACAATTTGAAATTGAATTATTGTTTAACTTTTAGAATGTGATTTTAATGAATGGAAATCTGCTTATTATCTTAGACGGTTTATTGAAAATGAGAACAAGGAATAAAATAAACAAACAATCATCTAACTAGATTGACGCTAGATTTGATATATATATGTAATGGTCTTCTTGTCCGGAATACTACTACTACTACTACTATTATTATTATTATTATTATTATTAATAACAATAATAATAATTATTATTATTATCAACAAGTGAATACAAAAATATTGATTATTATTTTAAATAATCCAATGAACAATTAATTAATATTTTTGTTTTTGTTTTAATTTGTTGTTGTTTTCTTTCCTTAAAGTAAATCAAATTTGTTACCCGTTTTAGGGAATATTGTTTAGAAAGATGAATTATAAAGTTATATGAATTTTAAAAAAAACTGCTTTATGATCATTTCACGTATTATAATAGTGAGTTATAAGTAGATAATTACTTATTATAAACAACAATATATTTAGTATTTGTAAGTTATAAAGCGTTAAAATATTAGGATAAAATGGATTGCAAGTTAAATTTGTACATCTAATTAAATATTGAACAGAATAAAGTGATAGGAACCTCTGAATGATCATATTTGATTATACTAGGCAGTATTAGATGGTAGTTGGAGGCAGTCAACAGGAAACCCTGGACCAGGGTTTCGTGCTAGTGGCACTCGTCAACAAGGTTTACCTGTAGTCTTGAGGGAAACTGGTGCTCCCTGGCGGATTCGATCTCGTGTCACCCAGCTTCATAGTCAGAGACGTTACCACTGAGCTATCCAAGCCGTAGCTAACCTCCTGTAGAACTGAGATGTAATCACAATTGATTGATCACTGGATGGCGATCAATGTCATTCGCGTCTAGTCCTTATTAGTGCAGATCGAATGCTATCGACTAGGCAGTATATTAGACGAATCCATGAAATAGTTGTCAATCGGTCTAAACTGAACTGTGAAAAATTAATAAGTTTAAAACCGAGACACATAGTATTAATTCATTGTCTCATTATATTTGTCTACATCTTTAAAACATTATCCTACACTTGTTATCCACCTTTTCCCTAAATCCTTTCAGTCATCATTATTAGCTTACCTATTTTTATTCTTTGACTTACTTTACTGTTACTGAAATATGAGAAGTTGAGCTGATAAACTGTACAATGGTCTTAATATTTTCAGTTTATCTTCTGATAAAAAGGAGGGGGTCTATTCTATTAAAATAGTTGATTTTATGAACGAAGCTATCAGTAAATGTTTGAACTCTCTGCATCAGAATAGGTTGCAACGAAGTTAAAAGTAATGACACAACGTTATGTCATCAGTTCAGAAAGTTATCAACTATTGGGCTGGATCTTAATGGGAGATGAGAATTTTCTGGTAGAGCTACGTCAGATAGTCGTTACATATTATTAGAGATGGTACCTGACATGGTCTAACACTGGTCTAATTGATTCAAATGTGTTTCAATTCCTGTCTTACTTAAGATTATTTATTACTTTTTGTTTTCTGGCTTTATCGATTTTTTTTAACCTCTCTTTTCATACATACAATTCTCACTAACATCTAGCTAAGTTTATGTGTAATGTGGTGAATCTGATCGATAAACTTTTAGCATTAGTACTAAAACTACCCAAGGTTAATAATCTAATGCCCAAAGATTCAACATGAAAGGTTTTGTCGCAGAGTATATTTCAAACACACATTACTAGTAAACCAAATCCAAGGGACCGCATATGGTACAAAGGTTGAAGGGAGTGTGTGTAAAATATTCAGTAGGTTATGGGACAGAAAAACAAAAAATAAAATGTACAATCTCAAAAAGCTCAACTAAATGTTTTGAGATCCATAAAAAATAAGGCTAATAAAAATTTTGATGTTTACCACTGACTGCCTGAAATAAAAGCTGCATTTTGACGGAAATTCTATTTAAAAATAAATTGCTCTGCTTGAAACCTTTGTTTTATATTCACTTGGTGTTGTTTTCCTTGTATCTTCCCACTGTCATTTGGGACTTCAATTGATTAGTCTCTTGTTGGGATGCAGGTACATCCAGCTGACGAGTCCCGAACGGGATGAAACGCGCGTCCTGGATTCCACTGCTAGCCACTATCCATCTTTGCTTAAAAAACATTGTTTTATATGATTATACTGAATGATTTGATATATCAAATTGAATTTTGTGATAATGAGGTCAAACAAGAGATTTTAAGCTATCTGTTTAAAGTCATAAAATTCAAGATCAGTTAGTTATAACGAACATGCTACCTTGCAAAGACGTACATCGAACCACATTGTCACATCCCATCAACATAGAAAGGAAAAAGTGAACAAAAAGATTAAACGTAGAAAATATGACGAGAAGGTATATTTAATCTATCAGCGCTTTTCTAACAATTACAAAACAAAAGATCATAGGAAATAATGAGTTTCATTTTAGTAAATTCTCAAGATACTCAGAATTAATATCACGTAAATTCTCGAGATTTTCTACCAACAGTCAGCCTCATAAAACGAACTGTGTAAATGGTAATCACTTGTAACGTTCAGAATTTGTTAGATTTGCGTCTAGCCTGAAGGTATCTTGTGTTTTGTGGGAGTGTGAGGAGCAGTACGTAAGAGAATCTGGAAGAGAAAAAACAAGAGAAAAATTGAGCTGATGACTCAGTAAGCGCATAGAATGCACCTAAAATTAATAATGAAATCAATCGACAGCAACCATAAATAACACGAACATGAGATTAGGACAATCTGAACATCGATACTAGAAGTTGACAGAGTAATGTTTCGAATGCTTTAAATAATTTTGAATCTGAAAGCACCTATTCACATCAACATGAATTAACTCCATTCTACGCATTTCGGAGTGAATTATGATGTTTTAATAGTCGTACATTTGATTTGTCTGTATGAATTGGAAAATATTAAAAGTATTCTGTTTCATTCCTACAAATTTTTATTTGCTTATGTGCTTAATTTACTTTGTGCTGTGCATTGTGCGAGTGTAAATAGAAATCCCGATCATACTATGTATTATTCTCCTCTTTACATGAATTCATCTATCATCAGGTTTAACAGATACTTGTAATCAAGGACTGGTGTGTACACGAGTCATACTTGGAGTCAGACACGTGTAGCACGTAGCCAACAAGGCCTTGACTGCTTCTTCCAATTACAATTAATCATACAAAAAAAATGTTAACTTCTGATCAAACGCATAGTTAATTCTTTAGTCAGTCAAACAAATATTTTACACAAATTACTCATTACTGGTTAACAAACTTTATTTTTTGGTTTTTATTATCATTTTAATTTCATTAGTTAATAAGCATAATTAGTAGGTTAAACGACGCAATATCAAGATGGGCTATGCTTTGTGTTTTTCGATTGCAGGAGTCAGTTATAAGAGGGCTGCAAATATACTCTTCGAAATTTTCGTATATTATCAGTCATGCACACATGAAATTTAGAGAAATGTCTGGTATGAGTAAGTAATATTTGATTGGTGCGTTGTACATATTTACTTGTTTTATTTATAATTTATACAATTCCTTCATGCTTGTTTGTTGTCTCTTCTTATCTTTAACCACTGATACAAATGTTTTTACTAGATAACTTTTACGAAAAACCCGAAATTTCTTATTTTACTACTTATAAGCGATGCTATTAGTTATTCTAGTGTGTTAACATAAAAATTAAAACTGTGGTGATACAGTCATACGATTCGAGATTTTGCTACTGTGTTGATTATACATCGGACGTTTCCCCGAGAAACAACTAATGTTACATACACCTACAGACACCAAGTTCAATCATTTAGTTTCTCGTTATGTTGGTGAATATTTGTAGCTCAGGATGAGGATGATAGAAGTTTTGTGGTCTCTGGGCTGAATGAGTTGGTTATGGCATCTTCTAATCTGATGGTCAGATTGTCTTAATCTTATGCTTGTATCACTGTTATTGGCTATAAACTGCCTTCATTAATCAATATAAGTGAAACCTTTGTACTTTCTTAGTCATTAGTTCATTTTTTCCATATTACCCCCCTTTCTAGGTTCCCACGGACACGCTATCCTACATATTTTTCCAGCACACAGCATGCCTTCAAGCTAGAAACAAACCAACAAAGTCTAAACGTTACAAATCAGTTTACATTTTAGATTCCAAACAAACGCATAGGAATCAATTATACGCTTATGTCCACTGACCCATAAAATTTTATTCGTGAACACCAGTAGGAACAATAGAATATGACACAAACTTACAGGACTTGTTAATAAAACCTAACAATCATCTGTAGCGGTAAATAAATCCCTAAAATAAATAGCTCTGTAAGTTTTCGACATTGGATGCTGACCATATGTTTTAGTGGACTCATCTAGCTGAAGGCGCTCGGTCAGGCATCCGCACCAGATCACGTGTAGTAACGCCGTGCTCAACATCAACCACAATCGCTAGCCAGATTAGATCAGAGAATCCCGGTATATTGGTCATCGCCAAATATACTCTTCCGATCTCCTCGACTCTGTCTTTTGATTTCTCTTGGTGGGAACGAAACATATTAGAAGGTGTTACTGGTAGAAGCGTTGTCAAACACTGAATACCTGTGACATCATCATTGGTGAGACCGTCGTGATCTGGTACACCTTATTGCAACTGTGAGTCTGTTCCTTTTTGGGATTTTTATATATCATTGCCTTATTTTTTATTTTTTTTAAACATTGTGATTTTTTTTCGTGTTTTTCTTGGATATATATATATATTTTCCCCTCGTTCATTATCGTACTTCATATTTCATCATGACTGAACAGACACCTAAAGTACTCAAGCTTAAGACCTTGTCCCCACCTTCGTTTCAACTGATGCCTTTCTGGCCCGACAACATCGAAGCCTGGTTTTGCTACGCAGAAGCCGACTTTTCCGAGCACGGCGTGATCGACACACGTGCACAATTCCTCGCAGTAGTCAAGGCACTACCGCGCGAATTCAACAGGTACGTAACACCTAGTATGTTTACTAGTGATGTTTCCGATCCTTACGAAATCTTAAAACGCTCGATTCTTAAACGAGGAGACCTAACCGATCGACAAAGGTTAGATCAACTCTTCAACAATATCGACCTGCAACACGGTTCTGCGACGGACATGTTGCAACGGATGAGAGAGGTTATAGGCCCAAGAACTTTCGACGAAGGTCTATTCAAACAACTCTTCTTGTCAAAACTTCCCCAACAGGTGCAAGCAGTTCTGGTCTCGTTCCAGAACAACGCCTTAGACGAACTAGCTGTATCTGCCGACCGCATTCTAGAAATTACGAAACCTTC